CTTATTTTGTAATGAATATCGTCTTGTGTTGTTGTCATGTTTTGTTTGATGACTATGTATTTACAAAGAGAGAAGAAGTCACGAGACGTCCCAGGAAGAAGCTAATGCTCAAGCTAACGCTCCTGAAACATTAGTTCTACATCAAACCCGTTCCTATTTCTGGACGTTCCGTCCAAATATTCTGACCTGTTTCTCTGTTTCTGCCGTGATCTGATCAATATGATGGTTCATGAACTGACACTGACCACCAGGTGGCAGTTCACGACGGTTTTGATCCATTCGTGACTTCAATGCAACATTTTGTATTTGATTTTCTTTCATCCTCAGGTGTGATCTCTGTTTTCATGTTAAACTCAAATGTAAACCTGGGATTTGATCTGTTTTTAAAAACCTCAGTCACAGTTTGTCATGCGTGTCTACTGTGGGAGTGGGTGTCAGAGGTCAGAGGTCAGAGGTCTACCACAGCTGCCTCTGTTTGTTTTCTGGGTCAGAGGAACTGAAGACAGACACGTTGATCTGTGACCAGGACAAACCGCACGGGCGAGGTTCTGGTCAGGACCTGGTTTGGTGGGTTTTCTTCTTCTTCACTCACGTTTAACTGAACAGTTAAACACCTTCTAACCTGGTGACAGCAGCAATAATCACAGCTGCGCTTGTGTCTCTTTACAGCCAATCAGTGCACGGCGCACAGCTGACGTAATCAATAATGTAACAGCAGTTATGGTTCAATAACTGTGTCGTTGATGTGGAGAATGATGAGTCATCAGAAACACTTTGTGTTCAGTAACTTTATTAACTTACATTTATAAACTTTATTCCTCTATAGTCGTTAAATAATTCATCACTGAAGAGGGCGCTGTTCTGGTGGCAGAAGTTTGATAAAACAATTGATTTTTTAATTATTAGCCCTTAAGAAAACGAAATGTCGATTTTGTTTTATTCCCCACAGCCAGGTGGCGCTGCTTGTTCACTGAAAAGAGACAGACAAAACAATGTTTCATTAATGTTTCATTGCTTTAAAAATAAACCCATGTTTGATGTTCAATGAATCACTAAACAGCTGTTCTCTTGTCCTCACGCAGGCAACAAGTCCACTGCCACCTTGTGGTAAAATATAAAATTGCTTTTTTTTTCTACGTGTATTCTCTAATGTGAGAAACCATGCCGGAAGGCCACGTTATTGATTTTATGACTGACGTTTCGGGCCGGTGGAAATTTAGACACGGGCCAGATTTGGCCCGGGGGCCGGACTTTGGACATGCCTGATTTAAAATCATCATAGTTTTTCATGAATAGTGGAAACGCGTGCTCACACGCCACACGATGAACTTACGTCTCTGAGCCCAGGCTGCTTCAGGATTCACACACACGAATCCTTTGGCCGTGAGAAAACTGTGGACAACAAACAGACAAACATCATCGTCCTGTGGTCTGAGCTGCTTATAAACGCTTTACTATCACTAAAGTAACGCAGGCCACAAGTCAAAGTTGGCCACCAGAGGGCGTTTAGTACACATGAACCCCAACAGAGGTAAACGCTCGCAGGTCCTTCATGAACAGCTGTGTGAAGTGAGTGTGTGTTAATCTTACACCAACGCTTTGACACAGGATCCACGTGCACGTTGTTGGGAGGGTACGCCGATGACATCAGCGCTGACGTCGGCAGAGGAGACTGCGGTACAGCACGGACGGACGACCCGCGTGGTGGGACCACGTCCTGGGAAAAACACGAGAACACATTTAACGCTGATACAGATCGTCAAAGCAGTCAGAGGTGTCGTGGGGTGGGGTCTGACGCCCCCTTCAGGTCATGTTGGTGGTTTTAGGAGAAATGCGGCCCAACGTCCACTGGACCACAGAACACAGGAGGTTTGATCTGACTGCTGCCTCCTTCAGGAAGTAAGAATAACTGTCTTTGTGTTTTAGATCTGTTTTCATTACCTTACATTAACGACAAAAAGTGACCACCAGAGGCACTGTTATTTCCTCTCTACCTGTTCTAAAAATTGTTCCCAGTTTTCAAAAATGTTTTCTCAAGGTTTTTGTAGGTATTTGATTTTTAATTGACTTAATAAGTTGACCTGACCTGACCTGACCTGACCTGATCTGACTTGACCTCCATCGAGACCTACAGTAAAACTTGAACAAAGTTATTTGATCCCATTTCTGCCCTGATGTCTTTTCTAGGTGGCTGGTACTGATCTGGTACTGATCTGGTACTGATCTGGTACTGATCTGGTACTGATCTGGTACTGATACTGATCTGGTTCTGGTACTGATCTGGTACTGATCTGGTACTGATCTGGTACTGATCTGGTTCTTACCTTGTGCTTGTGCGCTCAGAACCATGCAGAGCAGGAGGACGGTCAGCAACGGGGTCTTCAGGGACATTTTCTCCAACGTGTTGTCTGAGACCAGAGTGAGTCGGGTTATCTATGGCTGCTTTCATCTTCCATTTATATTAGGTGTGTGTGCGTGTGTGTGATATGACAGGGTCTCACACCTCCTCCCCCTTGGAGGTGTTATTTTCGTTTCCATAACCGCCGTCTGAACATTTAAACATCCTGTAAACCGTTTGCATCGCTGACACAGCCAAACTAACCACAGACCACTCGCACCATGGAAACCTTTGAATATAAAATAATTTCTCGTCAGTTAGAAGTTAGTGTCATCTGTCCCGCTTGAGCGCCCCCTTTGGTCCACTGTCCTAAAATCAGGAGTTCCAATTTTATCTTTATCTATATCTATATCTATGTATTAGTATTAGTACTGTTGTTGTTAGTACTGTTGTCAGTACTGTTGTTGTCAGTACTGTTGTTGTTGGTACTGTTGTTTTTCGTACTGTTGTTGTTAGTACTGTTGTTGTTCGTACTGTTGTTGTCAGTACTGTTGTTGTCGGTACTGTTGTTGTTGGTACTGTTGTTTTTCGTACTGTTGTTGTTAGTACTGTTGTTGTCAGTACTGTTGTTGTCAGTACTGTTGTTGTTAGTACTGTTGTTGTCGGTACTGTTGTTGTCAGTACTGTTGTTGTCGGTACTGTTGTTGTCAGTACTGTTGTTGTCGGTACTGTTGTTGTTGGTACTGTTGTTTTTCGTACTGTTGTTGTTAGTACTGTTGTTGTTCGTACTGTTGTTGTCAGTACTGTTGTTGTCGGTACTGTTGTTGTCAGTACTGTTGTTGTCGGTACTGTTGTTGTCAGTACTGTTGTTGTCGGTACTGTTGTTGTTGGTACTGTTGTTGTCAGTACTGTTGTTGTTAGTACTGTTGTCAGTACTGTTGTTGTCAGTACTGTTGTTGTTTGTACTGTTGTTTTTCGTACTGTTGTTGTTAGTGCTGTTGTTGTTGGTACTGTTGTTTTTCGTACTGTTGTTGTTAGTGCTGTTGTTGTTGGTACTGTTGTTGTTTGTACTGTTGTTGTCAGTACTGTTGTTGTTTGTACTGTTGTTGTCAGTACTGTTGTTGTTTGTACTGTTGTTGTCAGTACTGTTGTTGTTCGTACTGTTGTTGTTGGTACTGTTGTTTTTCGTACTGTTGTTGTTAGTACTGTTGTCAGTACTGTTGTTGTCAGTACTGTTGTTGTCGGTACTGTTGTTGTTGGTACTGTCGTTGTTCGTACTGTTGTTGTCAGTACTGTTGTTGTCGGTACTGTTGTTGTTGGTACTGTCGTTGTTCGTACTGTTGTTGTCAGTACTGTTGTTGTTAGTACTGTTGTTGTTAGTACTGTTGTTGTTCGTACTGTTGTTGTTCGTACTGTTGTTGTCAGTACTGTTGTTGTTGGTACTGTTGTTGTTGGTACTGTCTCACTCTTGACTCTTGAGTTCTTTTTTTTTAAAGGCTCATTTCTAAAAGTGATGACATCAGCAGTGGTCACAGTTGAGAAACTCCCACATCCTCTTACGTGAGAGTCAAACCTCTGATGGAAA